GCCCTTAATAAAGTGACTTAAAGTGACTATTGTGCAGAGAACCCGAAATTGCTGTCCGGTTAGCGGTGGACACCGAAGAAGCCCCAGCTGGTGTTGACTGAGTCCAGCAAGGCCTTAGAAAACGAGGTCGATGCAGCTGATTCTATGTGATTGTGGAACGAGTAAAAGTAGTTTGCTTTTCGCATTTTATATTGTCCGAGGGTGGGAGTGTCCTGATGCACCGACCGAGAGCTGGTGTGTTTAAGTGGCCCTTTAGCGGCCGCGACTATCTGGAAATACGTGTTGTTTAAATTCCTGCAAGTAAGGGAGTCGGAAAGTGCTGCCAAAGAAGTTGCATGACCTTAGGGAAATGGGCATTTAACAAAAGTCGGACGGCATTGTTGGTTGACTGCCACATTAAAAGTGCACCTGTCTCTGTTTATGCAAAGATTATAACGTAGCATCGAGGAGGGCACTCTCCTTTGTGTTTCGATTTCGTTTTTTCAATAAGCACAAGAAAATATTCCAAAGGTGAATTTTACAGGGTCTTTCAACTGGTGAACATTGTGGAACATAAGCGACATTTCCGTCTTGGCATGTTGAACTGAGCGGTTCTCCTTGATGACTGCGCAAACTGTACATGAATTCGGTCTTCTAGACTTATGATTACTGTGCAAATTTAGATGTTGCTGTTAAAGACAGTGTTCAAAATAACTCTCAAATTTGTTTTCTGAATCGTGTGCCCATCAATAGAGAAAAATAAATTAACACAGCATTTTTTTGTCTTTATTTTGTGACCTCCTTGCTGCACATGACACATTATCATGCGCACAGATTAAACATCATTATGTGCAAATAAAGGCATTCAGTTTGGTTCACCATCCACATTCTGAAGGCATCCACTGGACCTGGTTGATTTACAAAAATATAAAGGAGGTAGAACATTCTGCTGCAAAGTTTCCAGTAAATATCGGCAGTTAAAACGGTCGGTAAATGTTTTGTTTGGCAGTTCTTGTAGTCGCTTACCTACATCTAGTTAACATGTATTTTTTCACTCTATGGCACCACGAAAGAGAGCATATTCGTAGTTGGTGGAGGGACTGCACTGCAGTCTGGGTCAACGCGCGTTGACGAGTTCCTGATGAGAGAACGGCTTTGGCGCGTACGGGCACCTCTCATCGGTCGACGCCAACAGCATGCTGGCGCAATCGTCCGGATTGCTGCCGCACCAGGCCAAGAGGGTGAAGAACAGTCTCTCATTGGCGTTTTTGGTGGAACCTACAAGAAAGGGGAGACTTGGACAAGCCTCGCTTCCTGTGAAGTGTATGATATCGGTCAGAATAGGTGAGGACACTCATGATGCTACCTAGGCTTATCTTATTTTCACACGCCTATTTCACTCTCCACCGCTCTCCCACACGACTCTAACAGGTGGCATAAACTGCCCGATCTGCCAGAAAAGAGGTGGGGTCTAGCTGCAGCCTGCCTGCCTGGCGACGATCGAGTCTT